GAAGTCGTTTTTTCGACTCGGTCTTCGGAACTCGGTATCTGCAAAAGTAATTTTCTTGATTTTCCTAATTGTGCCATGATATTGGTCAATCGTTGTTATCGGTAGCCTTCATTTCCGGCGCGGAAAAATATGTATAAAAATAACGGAAAATGGAGGGACCGAGTTCATCATCTCATGACGATATTTACCAGTTTATTCTTAAGCAGCCTTGCATTATTTATAGAAACAACAGCTGTATGAATCTTCTGTATTGGTAACTCACATCCCGTAGTACGAAGTACAAGTACGTTGTTGGAGGTTTGATCAAGTCAAGTTATGCGTTAGTGTTGCGGTCCGCGATAGGTGATTTAAGTTTTAAGAAGTAAGAAATTGACCAATTATAATCGAATGTGAAAAGAATAATCGACTATGATTGGCCAATTTCTTAAACGACTTAAAGATTAAATACTTATTGCGGACCGACACTTATGCTTTTCCGGCATCCACGTGTAGTCTTTAACATTCTTTTTTTCATTAAGATCTATCTTTCACGGCCATCCGGCACGGCCGTATCCACCGTTCGTTGCAATTACGTGCCCTATCTCGTATTATTTCGCACATTGTGCGGAACTCTCCTTTCTTCTTTTCTTTCTTTCTTTCTTTTTTTTTTTTTTATTTTTATTTCCGCGAATTCTTTTTATAGGCACGTATAGATATACACACGTGCAAATATGCAAACACACACGCGGCTTTTCTTGCTCGCGAATTTCTTGACCGACTTAGACCGACTCGTTTCTCGAATCTTCAAGAAACCTTATTCGCAAAAGAAAACAAAGTTTAATTTCTTTATCTTATCGATTCTTTGAATATCAACATCGAGTAATCTTGACAAATCGGAAGGCGCATCAATAAATTTTTTTTAATTAAAAACAACAAGATTCGTTCGAGAGTCGTTCTAAAAAATCAAGTCTTGCAATCAAGTCGTCTCGTTAAAGTCCTCTCTATTTTTCATTTCCGTACAAGTAGAAAATTATTGACGTTATTCTCGAATCGAAACGATCATTCTTCTTAACCAGATGTACCATCGGTAATCGAGAGACTCTCTGCGATATATCGTTCCGATGGGCACTCCAAGCACTGCAATAGTTTCGTGATTGCGATATTAAATGGTTGGAACTCAACGTGCGAGTGGCTGGCGCGTTAGAGTTTTACGATGATTTGTTTTGCACCAATTATTCGAGTATATCGCCACCGTGGATGTGGAGCGCGTTTCTCTTTGATTCATCGCGCGTGAATACAACGCGCAATGAAAATCG